TGGAGTTCTAACTGACTGCCTAGTGAAAAGGAAATACTTCATTTTGCAAAGAGAATATTACATTTCTCATACTTTAACCTGGCTGTTTAAAAATTCAAATTCTCTTATGACATTGCCTTTCCATTTTTGCATTTTAATTATTATGGAGCAGTCAAGAACGTTCAGTCATTAAGCGATAATCAGATGCTGATTGCTTAAACTCCACAGAGTATTTGCTTTTAAAAACCTTAGTCCTAGGTAATAAATGGTGCGAGTTTATCAAAGCAAGTGGCATATACTTTTACTCTGTTTTGATCCAGTTCTGTAACAATTTCTACCTGCTGGTTTCAATTGGTCCTGGGAATATCTTTTGTGTTATGCCCACTCACAGTTAGAAGGAACCAGCATCAATCTGACAATAGAATAATATTATCTTCCCTCTATACAAAATGAAAAAGCCAATGGGACAAAGCGTCCTGTCAATAATCCATGGCCCAAACTATATGGTCTCCTTTTATTTTTAGAACTTGAGGGAAAAAGAATTCCCTTATTAAAAAATTATCCAATTAAATATGAGGCTGGCCACTGGGAGACTCAGTGTTTTCTCTGAGCACCAATTTGGAGTCCAGCATTCCTTTTAGGAAGACAACTCAGCAAGGTGATGGTCTTTGAAGGAACAGAGAGACCTATGATCATTCTGTTACCTGCACCACACATGCCGGGAGTGTTTCCCAAAATCTGTATTACTAGCTTCATAGAGTTGCAGAAGCAGTGTGGTCTTATTCGATAATCTAGTCAGAGTTAGTATGGTGTGAGCTGTCCCAGAGTTTCACCAAAGCCTTATATCCAGATCACCTTTCTTTACAGGTGTGTTGGACAGCAAAATGGGAGCTCTATAGATTTTTCAGCAGTAAAATTATTCTAATTTAATGATAAAGTTGATATGTGTGAATAAATAAGCACTTTGGACCGGCTCAAAGAACATAAAACTAAGCTTTCATGAATCTTTGTGCAACTTTGTCTAAGTTTAAGAGTTGGCTCCCTTTCCATAAAGATACATTATAAAATTTTACACTCTGAAGTTTGAGACTAGTGAGAAATAAGAGAAACTTGCATTAAACCCCCCAAATTAGAAAGCATAAGCCAAAACAACAAACCATTTTTCCAAAGCCTATTCATCTTGAACTTGTAGTAACTCCCTGCCCCTGCCTGAGCCCACTCTGCCTTCCCAGCTTTGCTCACTCTTTATTAGAGTGAGGCAGGTGAGGTGCTTACCTGGGGAGCAAAATATAATGGGTTGCTATGTGTACTGTGATCAACATAGTTAATGTTGCATGGTGGTACTTTTAAAAAATCAAAATTAATTCAAAAATGTCCAAGATGAAGAAAACATCACCATTTTAGCACAGGTTAAGTGGATAAGATAGGGTCATGCAAGTGCAAGGGCAAATACACTACTCATGCAACATGTTACTGTTTTGATAGTGGAGAGTTGATGATTTTCCTTGGAGGCTGGCAGCTTGTGTATTCACACCACCTGTGGCTCTATATACTCCCCCAAATGGAAAGAACAGCTTTGTTTTCAGCCCCAGGCCCCTCACTTAGTTCTGCCTTGCCTTCTAGTTGATTACCCTGTGTTCTCCATTCTACCCTAAGGCCCTTAAAAACAAGGATCCTGCCTTCTCACCTGTGAACTCTCAGAGCCTAGCACAGTTATCTGTACTATGTGTTCCTCTTTTTGCTCTATCAAGCTTGGAGTCATCTTTCCAAACCCTGCATGTCCTTATCTTAATCTAGTGTCTTAGTGTTCGCTTGCCTGTTCCCAGTAACATGTGTGGTATTGGTCGATGTTTCTCCCTCCCCATGGATGAGCCAAATGAATAGAAGCAATGTGCAGAGCAGCACAGTTGGTATGTGGAAGATCACTTCCATGGCCATAGGTATAAATGGTTTGTTATTTACCTATTACTGTGTAAAAATGTACATTAAAAATACAATGGGTGGTGCTGTAGCTTTCTAAGTGTGAATGTGCATTTGTGACATGCCTGGATTCTCTGCTTAGGATTTTACCAGGCTGAAATCAAGACATTGGTTGGGCCTACCATTCTACAGTTCTAGAGGCTGAGTTTAGTTTTCTCCTCATCATTTATTTGCAGATTCAATTCTTGCCACTATAGGGTGGAGGTCCCAATTCTCTTGACTTGTGTCCACTTCATGTTCAAGCCAACAAAACACAATGAATGCTTCTCAGGCTTCAAGTCTCTCTGACTTCCTTTTCTACATTCCTTTAAAGACTCATGTGATGTCCTGGAGTCCCCCTAGACAATCCAGGATAGTGCTGCTATTATAGGGTCAAGTGATTAAGAACCTTAATTACAGCTGACAAGTCACTTTTGTCATCTGAGAAAACCGCAGGGGAACAATAGATGGTGCAGGCCATGAGGACCAATATGGGGGTTGCCACAGCTGGCAGTAGCAAAGGAGGGAGCTGAGCATTTACAGTTTCTGTTGGTGTCTCAGGGCCCAGCTGTCCTTGGCTTCTTCCCAGTTTCTCTTACTAAGGTATCTGAGAAGGTGGATAAGTATTAGCTGCTGAGATCTATGGGGATATTCCTGATGGGCAGAATTGAGAATCCTTCTCATGATGACTTACACTGTTATTTCTGGGGCTTTGGCAGCAATAGTTCTTTGGGAAATCAGGAAAAGCATCCTGGGTTCTAATACCATGAGCCTCATCTGGGCCAGAGGTGTTATCTATTATTCATTCCTGTGCCCCTGATGGGCAAACCAAGCATGACCCACGGGAGGCACTACAGAAATGCGTATTTGAATAAATGAACTAATAAAAGAATTGATCCATTCCAAGCATCTTCTATTTAGAGGTTTTGAATTGATATTTATAGTCACCGTTTCCTACCAGCTGCTTCCATATTCCCCAAAATGCTGGAACGCAACATCCAATTGTCCAGGCTATCTGTGAGCAATCATAATCATAGAAACCTCACTTCCTTTCTCAGAGAGCTGGATGGAATATTTCCCTGAATTTTTTGTAGTCTAATCATCAGCACTAACATAATGCATCTGTTTCTCCTTCCCTGTCACCACTAAGGCTTCCTAGGCTTATACTAATGGCCTCAAATGTCTATGCTATGATTAGGAACCACATGTGTATTTTTATGCCTGGTGTTGAACCTCAGAATCTACTAGAATTTATTTTTAATTGGTTGAATTACTAGCTATTTGTGAAGTCTCTAAGTCAGGTTTTTTTAAAATTTTCATTATATAATTCAATGCTTATTACCATACATTAATACACTCACATAGACACACAGGCATACATACATTCTGACCTGCACACACAAATGCTTAGTCCATGGAGGAAAAATTAAATGTGGTTTGAAAGAGAACCACATAGAAAATTGCCTAATAATTTTATCCTTGGTTTTGTGTCAGATTTCTTTTCTTTCTCTTTTCTTTCCTCATTTCTTTTTTCCCTTTTTTCTTCTCTTCTTCCTTCTCCTTTCTCCTTCTTCTTCTTCTGTCTCTCTCCCTCCCCTCTTCCTTTTTCTTTCCCTCTTCACCTGCCTTCTTTCTATCTTTCTCTTTCCTTATTTCTTTGCTTTGGTTTTGTACTGGGGATTAAACTGAAGTCCTCATACATACTAGAAAAGTGCTTTATGATTTATTTTTCCTTTAATGTCTTTCTGTGTGCCTGAAATAATAAGCCACCCTCTGAGTTCTTAAATCCAAGGTCAGGAGATTGTGACACACTTGATAAATCCATGTGAGAATCTTGGTCATCTGAAATGTATTTTTTGGGTTGGGGATTTAGCCCAGCGGCATAAGCACCTGCCTTGCAAGCAGGTGGTCGTGAGTTCGATCCCCGGTACCGATAAAATGAAAAAGACAAAAAAAAAAAAAAAAAAAAAGAAATGTATTTTTTGTCATATATCGTTTACTAAGTTGTAATTTGTTTTCCACACCATTCTTTTGTCATATGAGCATGATTTTCCAGAGAGCTCCTTAAATCCTGAATATAGTGACCAAGTAGAATCACTTGACCTGCAGAACAGGGCAGCATTCCTTAGAATTGAGTGTACATCCCCACAATACTTCTGCCTGGGTTCCAAAATATTTCTTCCAATACAGTGCTTTCTAGCATCCTAGAGTTCTGACAACCGCAGTCATCTCATTCCTGTAACAAAGGTCTCCACAAATGTTTCTACTGTATCTAAATGCATATTACTTAAATCCAGGGTCACGCTACAAGGTTTAGAGCGACCCTCCCAGGCCACCCCCAGAATTCTGCTCTGAGTTTGGACAGGAAATTAAATGCTGAACACAGCTATGAGAATTTAGTTTACCAAACTATGCAAGGCAGTTGGGGAAATTTTAAGAAGAAAAAAAGTCTATCATAATAATATTGTGTTTGCAACTCAGTCAACTGTGAACTGCATATGAGAGAAAAATATAAAATTAAATGTACCAAGAGAGCTGGTTTCCTTCACTGCTGGTAACAGGTCATTTGAATCAGATGGGAAGTTGGCGTGGCCTGGTGGCCACATGTTATTATATTACATAACATCATACACTTTTTGGATAGTGAGATTTTATTAAGTTCCTGTTCAATGTCATATATCAAAGATGCACATAAGCCAGGGTACCCTGTTTCACTAGATTCATTTCTCATAAAGGACCCCAGAGCAGATAGTTCTCAGCATAAAGCTGAAATACAACTACGCATCCAGTGATTATTTTTCCCAGTCTGAAAAGTTGCTGATTGAGAAAGAGAAACATGACAGTGAGCTCACTCAGCATCAAGATCAGGAACGTTTCTGGGTGCAGATGGGAACTTGCAGAAGGTGCTTCTCTTCACAGAAAGCAATCAGAATATTGCAGGTGTGTGTGTGAACGTGCGGAAAGGGTGTTGGCTTGAAGTTGTGATGCTCGCAGAAGTGCAGTGGGTGCTGGCAGTGAAATGTAAGCTAGCCTGTAATAAAAGCTCCTGGGAATGCAGAGGATGCCTCGGCATTAGGCATTCTCCTCGTGTTTCACATAAATGCATCCTGTTCTCAGGAGCAGACGAGCAGTGCGTTTGCACTGGCTCATTCAAATTGAATGTTGGTAAAAGGAGAGTTCTGAGCAAACAGAACAGTTTGGCATCTTTGAAGGCAGGAGCAAGGTTAAGCTGTCGGCTGCATTCTCTGCTATTTATTGGACATTTGTTTGCTGGCCATGATGCATGCTTAAGGTACGTTTCAAAGAGGCACCTATCGGGTGGCTGATGCCCGCATGGCACAGACCCCCCCAAGTGGTTTTGCTCAGGAGCTTTTGGGCAATAAAGTTCAAAGCTTCATGTGTTATCTCCAAGCCTACTGTGGATAATGTTTTGCTGAAAGCGAAAGCTCCTCTGGAGAGGCAGTTTGTATTGTATTTTTTTTCTTCTTGTTGTTGTTCTTTTTCAATGCTGCAGCTTTAACTTTGTCACAACAAGGGTAAGGAGAGGGAGCCTGGAGAGAGCGTTTTGCAACATGCTTTTTCAATTAGTTTGAATGGGAATGTAGCGTCGCCAGCGGCAGTTGCTCCCCTGTTTTCTGGTCATGTGCTCTGAGGAATAAAGACACTGTAGGGCAGTGAACCTGAACTTGGCCCATTCATCCATACTGCATTGAGTGATTGCATGGAGTGGAGTCAAATGCCACTTGGGGGTGAAGAGCACACATCGTCTTGTACTCCTGCTGGATATATTAGAAAGGAGGACCCTTGACAGAATCCAGTAATTAAAAGGTAAGCCATGGAGTGTGTGCTGCGTGTGTGCCGAGGGGAGATTGCACAGTGGAAGAGAGAGTTGTGTTTAACTTTGGGGGAGTGCTATATTCCTTAGATTTTCTTGGCCAATGGATCAATAGAGAAGAGGCTTTGACTTAATACTGATTTATAATATAGTCCCAAAGTAAGGTTACTTTTACACGTGATGATGTCTCTTCTGTGCTGTAAGTACTCAAAACTTAATTGCACTTGTATCACTGAAACTGAAGTGTTCTCAGTGGGGACCATGCTCAAAAGTTTTGACCACAGAAATGGATAAGTACACTCTTTACTGCCTCTGTGTTCTGCCAGGTGAAATCTCATCATGAGAATTCATTCTGTGTTTTAAAGCAGAGGTTCTGTTTATTTGTTTGTTTGTCCCAAATCTAATAAGAAATGGCTTCCAGAGGCATAAAAATATTGGGGAATGTGACATTTGTCTTATATTCCTTTCATAAGACATACAGTTTTCAACTTCTGTTAGGGACGAATCTTGAGGGGAGGGTGCAGATCTACTTTAAAACATGTTGGCTGCTTAGTGAAATTTAACGCCATCTTTTGTAAATTATTTTTACAGGTATTGCATTTAAATTAGGGCTCTCTGAAGTAAGCAATGTCTTTTGGCAATGTGTGTTCCATGAAAGTAATTGATGAATTTTCTGACTAGAAACTTAGCTTGTGTCTCGTAAATCTCTTGTCTAGCTCTCTAGGCTCCTTTACAAGCTGTATTAAAAATAGTAGGATAGGTTTTTAATTAAACCACATATTGGATTTGCCCTCAGGGAGCTGAAATGCAGTTACAGGGGCATTGGATAATAGGAGTCCTTTGTTTCCAATAAACTGTTCTTATAAGTCAGGATTTAAAAATAAAGTATGCTGTTCTTTAGATCTTTGGGATACTTTATCACTTTATATAACTGAATCTATTGAAAATCTGTCTGCTGGATATATTAGAGATGTAATATTAATTTTGGAATAGAGATGAAATGTTAATTTTAGTAGTTATAAAATATACCATTATATAGGTATTACATCTACTACTTATTGGTATGTGTGTATTAAGACTTTGTTCAAAAGGTCTGATTGTTAGCCGTGTAGTTTGTCAGAAGCAGAGGTAACAAGACTTGGCATATAAATACCAGTTCTCAAAAAGAAGAGGAATGTCCATGAATGTATCATTTATTGGTATTTCACTTGTGAAACAATGCTGATGATTACCTATGGGTTCATCATGGCGTGATGTTGAAATCATTGTTTTTGTGCCAGAAACTGTGCATCTGATCTGAGGGTGAGAGGATAAAGAATGGGGACAAAAATTTAGCAGGCAAAGTGTTACATCCTGGAGGAATTTGGTATTGGAAGTTGTACCTTCTATGAATTCCATGCTGACACTAAGGACCAGCTGTTTGGTGACCTGGTAGAAAGACAACTTTGACTGATGACAGAGTCTGCTTTTGTTTTGAGCCTATAAAAATGTATCTTTACTGGTTTTAGTTTAAGTTTTTGTTTAAGGTACCAATTAGGCTTTTCAATTTTTTAGTGAGTTTTTAAAGGCATAAACATATGTTTTTTGAGGACTATGTCACAGAAAATTGTCAAAATAACAATTAAATACTAAATTTTCAGAACTACTGTTTTGCATAGTAAATAGTTTGTTAGTATCAGTGAATACTGTTACTAAATTTTGAGAAATACTGTTTTGCATAGTGAATATTGAGTTTAGAAAAGGTTAAGCTGAAAAGGTATAACATAGTGAGATCCATACCAGTTTCTCTTCATTTTCAAATGAAATCTAAATTTGATCATTCTTTTACCTTTAATTTCAGTACATACAGCTTTATAACAATAAAAGTGAAGGAAGTAAATAATTCAGTTTTTTTCATGTGAACTATGGTTTTTGAAATAAAGCAAGTGTCTGGTCCATTCATGGAAGCTGCTCAGAGCCCCAACACAGCTGAAAGTTGCTGTAATCATTGCTTTGAAATCTTACTTGTTTAAATAGGAGAGGAGAGTTCTGTGACAGTGCAAATCAGGAACATCTGTGCTTGATTTATTTCCTAACATGATTTATCAAAGCCATTGTGATATCTTGTATTTACAGAGAAGCTTTCTGTGAAGAATTCATAGTGTTTTTTGGACATTATCTTAATTATCAGGGTGCCAGAAAGAAATAGAGAGGCATACTATCTCCAGTTCACAATGGAGATGACAGAGGGACAGAGAGGTAAAGAAATTTATCCAAGATGATTCCAAAAAATGCTCATACATAGTAGCTAATAAATAAGCCAATCTGAGTTCCATGGATTATACTGGCACTTTAGTCTCTAAGATCACCTTATCTTACCAGTGAGTTCTCACTGTGCGCAGCAGAAACATGTTCTGTGACTTCTCTGGGATTAGACTTGAAAAACATTTGAAAGGTTGAGATGTAAGTCTGTATTCCTGATATGTGCAAGGTCTTGGGTTCAATATGCAATACTGCAAAAACAAAAACATTTGAACCTTTTTCTAGAAGCCCATCATCTGTAGAGGAGAGAGCTGGATACCATCTCTCTTGATAGAAAAACTATAAACCCAACAAGAAACATACTTCTCTTAGTATTTCAGCTTTTGAGTATTGAGATATGTGAAGTTTACTCTAAGCTGAGTTAAAATTACTAATAAATTAGGAAAAAAAATGTTCTCATACACTCAGAAAGACATTAATTCTCTTTGTTTTGTTAAGTGCTTATTTTAAAGAAACTATCTCATTTTCAAGATCAGGCAATGATTTCACATATACAGAAGTTAGAAAAATGAACACCAAAATAGTTACAACGTGGCTTCTTATTTTGATTGAGAAGCAGATGGGTGGCAAGGTAAAGTCCTTTTAGAAAACATAAAAATTGAGACCATCTTGTCTGTGGTTTAAGTGTAAATGCACTATTGATGCAGTGTTCTAGAAGTAGAGTCTGATAGATAGACTCTAGAAAGAAGATCTCTTAAATGCAATACCTATGCCAGGAGAGTAGATACAATAAACCATTTGAATTGGTAAGCCCATTACCTTACTCTGGATCTGTTTCCCCATGAATGACATTACTTGCATTTTCTGCGTAATCAGTTGCACCAAAGAAGATGATAAACTTTTGAAGGTAGCAAATTATTTCATACTAATTTTAAAGAACTCATTGAATCTGATAGTACCTTAAGCCTGTAGAGATAATTACTAAATATTTATGCAACTGAAATTGTTCCCACAATGTAGGCCCTGATTGGCCTTCTTAAAAATGTACAATCAGACTAATTTAGAGAATAACATACAAATAGAAAATTTGCTTATAACAAGATCATGTATTGAAACCAGTGATTCTCAAAGACAACTTTGCTACTACATCACAGGAAATATTATGGAAATGTCTGGAGACATTTTAGCTGTCACATCTGCTGGTGATACTACTGGCATCTAGTGGCAAAAAGCTATGGATGTTACTAAACTTGCCATAGTGCACAGGGCAGTCCCTATTGCAAACAAATATCTAGCTCTAAGTTTCAATAGTGCTGCAGTTGAAAAAACCTAGATTTCAAATAAAAGCCATATCACATAGTTTTACAATGATTTTTATTATTGGCCTCTACTTTCCACTGAAATCTGTGCTTCTTAGAAAAAGTGGTTTCCTTGCTAATTTCAAGTCTGTGTTCAGCACAAAACCTGACATATATTAAATCTTTAATAAATGATGGTTGAATTGATGAATGAATGAATGCTAATGTTGCCAGAAAAGGTGCCCCAGTATCCTCTTTGGAACAACATTATAATTAGAAACTGCATTTCTAATTGAGACCTTGACATTAAACAATCAATAGGGTCAATGACAAGGTACAGAGCAGAAAAACATCAACCACACATTCTTGTCTTTATTTAAGAAGTCCACTGGGCCTCATGTCATTGTATCTTAGCACAGAAAGGAAACTAAGAGACCTACAGTCCAACTCTTAAATTATAAGTGAATCAGTTGAAATGTGGAAAGCTAAATGACTGGTCTAACATCTCACAGTTCAGTGACAGAGCTGGGAATTGAATTGTTTCTAACTCAGAACCTTATTATGTTATATGTAGATGCTAAGCTGTCTCCATTGTATAAGGCCTAAAAATGGGTGAATAGATTGTGATTACATGAATGTCTTAGTCACATACTCATCACTGGGACACAATAACAGACATTTTACAACTTAAAGGAAGAGATGTTTATTTGGGCTCATGGCTCCAGTCCATGGCTGGTTAGGTCCAGGGCATAAATGCAAGGCAGAGGAGCATATCAGAGAAAAGGCTACTCACATTATGGCAGCCAGGAAATAGAGATACAAAGGATGTGACAGAGATTTAGAAGTCCTCTTCTACATTCTGCTCTCAGTGACATGGCTCTGTTGAACAGATCCCACCTCTCAGTAGTAAGTCAACTGTGTTGCCTCTATAATTCAATCACTCTCCAAAACTCCCACCCGTGAGCACATGTGACCTTCAAGAAACATTTTCTATGCAAGCCTTAACATTCTGAGTGAGGTCCTCAAAAGACTCACATAGATCTCTTTATGCAAAATGCTTTTAGTCCATCTCTAAGAGTTGCCAAAGATCTAATCATAGTTCCAGAATTTCATAAAAGTTCAAGTCTAAAGTCTCCTCTGAGACTCAAGGCAAACTCTTCTTAGCTGGGAACTCATGTAAAATATTTTGAAAAGTTAAATGCTGCTGACATATAATGGCACAGGGTAAATATTTCCTTTCCAAAAGAGAAAAAATATGAGTATAAAAAATTGAGATCAAAGTAAGATTAAAACCTAACAAGGTCAACATTAAACACTAGTTTTTTGCAGCACCTGGGACAAGTTGTGGTGATGATTGTGAGTTCCAAGTGATGTGGATGGCTCCATCCTTACAACATTGATATATGCAGATCTCATGGCTTCTATCTTAGAGTGGATTTGCTCACTGCTTGAAG